CCCCCCCCCCGCTTGACAACTCACTGACAGTGCTGGATTTATGCACCAATTTACCAGCTCGCGCATGCAATGCGCAGCTACTTATCCCCCAATCATCGGTGAACGAAACTGTGGCAGCTACAACCAGTGTACGACCAGTACGCGGTTATTACAGCTGATAATAATGATAATGATGATGATACGCAACACGGCCTAACCGACGTAGCTTCTGGTGCTAGACACAACGGAAAACTCCGTTGCACGATCAAAAACTCACTTCATAGTTGTCCTGTTAGGGACTCGCTGACAAAACGTTCCACAAGCTGTGGTTCCGAAACAATTATTGTCGAACGTCTGAAGACGTTTCAGTTTCGCTGCTCTAACAGCCCAAGCCCCACCGTCGTATTAGCTCACACGGCGGTATGCTTGCTGAAATCTTAAAGGTCTTAATCGCGTTTATCAAACTGCGTCAACTCTGGCGTAAAAATGTATGACACTGGCTGTTACGGGCTGCGTGTATCAGGCTATGATAAGGACTGTGTAGTTTTGTGGTTGCGAGACAAAGCCCCTTTATACAAATGACATGGGGCGTCTTCAGTTTGATGACCACCGATATCTCCAAAGCGCTGTTGTCATCCAATGGCGTCAGCTAATTCATGTCGAGAAAACGGGCATTTGGTTGTCCAACAGGTAACTCAGTCGCACTAAACACCCAGCCCCATCAAATGTGGTGCCCCAGCAATGTGCTTACACGTCGAAAACTCGTCTACCGAGGTAAGTGTTGTTCCCTGTGTGTCCTTCACAATGGCGCAATCTGCCAGGTGGACAACAGATGACTTGTCGGAACGGTGCAAAGAAGAATACGATAAGTTAGCTATTGTCGTTCTTGGTGCGGTTCACCATAAGATATCCGTGCTTGGCCGTAGACATTGTGAGACATGCCGACTAATCAATTTCAGTGACTTTTGCACTGTCAGTTTACTTCCAGATTGTTAGATTAACTGTTTGGAGATGCAGACAACTCAGAGTTCTCTCGGTAAGCTCGCGCCTGATACAGCCCAAGACCGCTTACGCTCTTTTAACAATAAATAAACGAATATACATATAAGTATAGCAAGTAAAAATAAATAAATTATATTGTATAATATAGACCTTGGGGCTGTTTCACAATCAACATGCGTGTCAATGCCAATAGTGCCGTCTCCGACGATGGTGACACTAATCAGGAGCACAGAACATAAAATAACTTCCGAGGATTGATAAAAGATAGTTTTGCAGATCTGGCATAATAAATACAAAATTCTAGGTCACTGAGAGGAATTAGTTTGTTTAGTTGGCCGCGTTCGAGATAGTTCAGTGGTCAAGACGCGAA